TTTTTTTTTTTTTTTTTTTTTTTTTTTTTTTTTTTTTTTTTTTTTCATTTCTAAGCAAAGCTACACAGACAATCAGACAAAAATGACATACGGAAAATGAAGCGATCCTATTGGCTGACTGCTGAGATGACTTGATGGAATGGACTGTAATGAGGAAAATGATGGACTCATTGTATGGTCCCTCGTGGGTTCGTATCGGTTAGTCTATTCTTTACCTCCTGTTTTGTCCAATGAAAGCACCCGCTTTCACCGATAAGATCTCTTAGTTCTCCTTTTTTTTTCTTTGTCTTTCGCTTTGTCTGTTAATGTCAATAATTCGCCTGCAGACAATGGGGCAGTAGACAGGTTTAATCTAGAAATACGGCACTAATTTTCTTTTTAAAATATTTTGTAAAAATCGATTTACCCTCACAGAAGGTATGACTGTCATTTTATTACCCTTAAATGAAGATTGAACCATGAAACTAGTCATAACGCTTCAACAGAAATGAGCACGGGCAATGCGTCCAATGAAATGTAAAGATGCTAGCAGCACCTCGATGCAACTATTCGTACCCTGCGGATGTCCGTGTTGCATATTCGCAAAACTGAAGGCGTTAAGAATATCTTTTCTGGTTAGCAAGAGCAATGTGCGTCGCGGTATGCTTGAATGTTTTGGTGACAATTCGCGTTCAAATGGATCAGAAATGTGTATACGGTGTCGTGCAGTCATCACGCCATAAGTTCATGTCCTTCCTACAGGAACAAAACATCCTATGATCCTACGCGTGGGGTCTCGTAAAAGCCCATTTCGAAAAGCGCTGCTCGGGCAAGAATCGCCGGAACGCCTTCAATGTTTGAGTACGCATCACGCACATCCGCAGAGCTCGAATAGTTGCATTAAGGAGTTGTGTGACCATTCTGATGCGCAAACTAGCCAATCGAGATACTTGCAGGTGGCGTCTCGTCTGGACTTTTTACGGCAATATTACGCTTGTAATTTTGCAACGATTCTTTAATGAAGTGTACAGTAGTGAAGTGTTTGTTCAGTGCATTTGAAATCTTGCATCTTTTAAAAATAGAGAGTGCATGTCGTTAACAGAAATTTCCCCGGATTTCTTAGATCGAGATTTATGCCCTAAAAACAAGTTCAAAGTTACGTTATCTGAGCTCCAATTAAGACGTGCATCAGCGATAAAAGAAAGATTACGCCCAGAAGTATCGGTTATAGGACATTTTGTCAAGGATTTTTTGTCAGTGCACCTGTTTTTTCCAGTAGTTTACGCCCACGCGTTTTTCGGCAGGGCAGTTTTGGTCAACTTACCAATTGGACTGCATTGCGCAATTTGGAACTATAAATTCTGGCTCTTCTGGAAAAACACTTATGTGCATAGGAAAACTAATGGCACATACGTTGTTTTCAAACCGGGCCAGAACTTATAGTTTCAAATTGCAAAATGTAGTTCAATTATTATTGAGACTCAAAATAATATATTCTTGACGGCATACTCACGAATTTTTCTGCCTAAATCTGCTTTCATATGCTAAACTTTATTAAATACGGATGCTAGGACTTGATGAGTTTTAGGACTACCGCTCTCTTTTTGTGCCGTAGCATCTTGATTATTTTGCGGAGAACGCTACGTATTCTTAATGGATGCCCGTCATTCTTGATATGTTGGGGCGCCTTCAATTTCGAATGATACTATGCAACACCTCTGTTGTGAAATAGTTGCTTGAGGTGCCATGCCGCGGCACGGCGAGCGGACGGCCAGCGCCAAACGCGCATTGGCGCCTACAAACCTAAGTAGATACTTCAAACATTGCGCAATGCGTGAGGTATCCCTTTAGGTTTGTAGGCGCAAGAGAGCCTCTCGCGCTGGCTGCACGCCGCTCCGCTCTGTTTGGCTCTAATATTTAAACTCGCAGAGTCAGCGTTTTTCAACTCATGATTATGAAATGATTGCACACTCTGCATGGACTATTCTCATTTAAATTGATGAAAAAAGATATGTATTGAAGGAAAATACATTGTGTAATCTGTAAATATTAAGGTGATTAGGTGTCAAATTTAATGATTTTCAAAGCCCTCTAATTTTTTCTTTCATATGTTGTGCTTTTACTGTGCTGCAGCGCAACCAAACGTGTGATTGTGTCTGTGTACATTCTTATGCTCAATTTTGCATTTACTTGACTGACGGTGTTTCAATATGTCTTTTTCAGCCACAACACAGAAAAAGTGATATATTTCCTACTATTAGATAGGAAAAAACGAAGGCCTGCACAAGAGGATGAGACTGAGAATGTTAGCAGAGTGAAAGTCGAAACGAGTGATCCACCTAGGAAAAGGATTGACACTTGTAAGATGAACGGCGCCGAGGCGCTCCAGTATGCAAGGATCAGTGAGGGATCGCCCATAACCCCTAGGAGACAACCATTTCAGTGAGTATACTCCGTTACCAAGTTCCGTATGCTTTGATTTTTGCGTTTGAGCTGAAATCTGGGGCCTAATTGAGTTACTAACTCACGTATTTCAGTTGTGGGTATCAAAGGCGGACTGACTACAAGAGACGACTCGAGAAATCCTTACAATGGCGTGGCGTGATTTGCGATCTATCGATATTTCCCCATTTGAAGCTATGGTAAATAATCGATTATTAAGGTGTTCGCTGCGAACGCCCTGTTATCGATACTTTTCCATAGGTTTAAATTATCGATCAATCGATATATCGAAAAGCACGCCACGCCACTGAATCCTTAGACTCCTCACTACGGGCTCTCTGTACCGTAAACGTTATTTTCATTGAACTACACTATTTTTTGCCTATTGATGCTTAAAGTAAGACGTACTGAGGAGTGTGTTTTGCATAAAGGCCTGGTTTTGCAAAGTTGCCGTTGAATCTACTTTGATACTCATCAGAAAGGTTAAGAAAATTCTCATCAAGACACTCGTCAGTCCGTAGAATAAGCGAAAAGTCGTGCTGATTCGCGAATTGTTTTGCCTTGCCCGTTTGAATATCTGTTGAATCGTTATCGAATGATCCAGATCGGTCTCTATCATAGCCATGCTTTCTATCGATGAAGGTCATTCCATATCGATTCAATAATTTTAGCCGCAGTGCAGTGCCTCTATTCGACCAATCTAAGAGTGACAAATTGTTCGCATAAATTATGTACAATAGCAAAAACGTGAATTAAATATGTAAACGCGTGTCATAGCAACAAGTTTTGATGGGTAAAGCTGATGAATTGACGAAACGTAATTGAAAGTTTCGTCTGATTACGCAATCTTTTTGTTATAAATATTATATTATGTATAGTCCTTGAAAATATAGTTAAGGGCATAATTATCAACTGGATAATAACCTACCCCAGTTCCTTCCATCTCAGGCGCGTCGATGAATACATCTGCAGCCTACACGAATCACTGCTTTCCATGGCCTATGATGATGTTGAACATAAACATCATTAGGCTCACTTTTTCTCCTGCTTTTATAATTCCCTCTCGCCCCTTTTCATTCAGCCTCTCCTTTTACATTATTCTCCCTGAAAAGCTCATTCAAAAATAAAGCTTATCAATTATGATTGATAAGCTTTTGAAACTCCGTTGCACACCGCGCCATGCCGCACCTCTAAGCCGTTGTTTCGGGCCATCGATGATGGGAAATGATAAAAAGAGCACTAAAAAAACGCACATTTCATGTGCAATAGAATTCATTTTATTCAATGCGTCAAAGTCAGTATTCCAGAATACCTAAAAAATCTGCTTCAATGAGCACTGCTGCTTCAGAATACTCCATAGTACCGAGAAAATCCTAAAAATATACGCACCTTTGCAAGCCTCTAGGATGCAACATAGTACTGCATACCATTGTAAGTGCATTTATAGTTCACCTATTTCTTTTCAATCGACACTCGTTCATAGTTTTGCACTTTGCCGAGGAAAAATATATTTATACAAAAAATCTTGTAGTTGCACTAATCACCAATAACTGTGTAGGTATTTATTGCTATTGTTAAAATTTGGAAGCTTTTTGCGTAGACCGCGGACCGAGAAGCACTTGGAGCCTCTGAATTAAAAATATTTCTCTGTAAAAATTAGTCACTACCTAAACGCCGGATGTTTTCAGAAAAGTTTCTCGTGCCCTAATGATGAAGTAAGTAGTGCGGAGACTTGATGTAAACAAAAAGCAATTTCTCTTTGAAATATTCTACGCAGAATTGTAAATAATGCATCCTTTTTTTCCTTTTTTCCATGTTTTTCCGATCTCGCTGACAGAGTAAACAGCGACGTTGAAATGTTGTAACAAATAAAAGCTCTCCAGCTGTAGCGAGCGGGATTGTTAGTTTCCTCGAGTTCCGGGCTCTTCCACCCTTAGAATTCACTGCAACTAAATGAAATTCTCGAAGATTCTCGCTAACCCTTAAAAGATTCATTTAACTGGCTCATTATTCAACCACCAATTAGCTCCGAATATACTTTTTCTCCGAAAAGCCTTTTACATTATTCTCCAGTTCACTCCGTAGTCACGATAAGATAAAGTCCTAAAGTTCATAAAGTTTGTTTTATTCTTGCAAACATCCTCTCAGTAACATTGAAACCATTTAATATATTTTCCTCTTTCTTGCGAATTGTCTGAAGTAATTTTCTCGCTTACTTTTAATCTTTTTAGAGCATTGAAAATTTTTCCTTTAAATTATCTCTTTACCTACAAATGCAATCAATTTTCTTGACGTAAAAAAATTAATATAAATGCAATACAGTTAATAATCTCTTTAAAAGTACAATTTTGACGGAGAATAAATTAATTATCAATGTAAATGGAGCCACGTGAAAATCATTCGTTTTACTATTCTCCTACTGAATGGATCCAAAGGTAAATCATAACTAAATATCATTTAGATGCACGATTTTCCCGCATATTCAAATGTTGACCATGAAGAGCTTCAATTCTTATGGCATGGCCATTTCATTGAGTCTATTAAAGTTCCCGAGATATGTCATATTCCTCACCTATTTCATTTTGGCATCCTAGCTTAGCCCTCATGTTTCCGAGAGTTTGAAGCCCTAGCACCTTTGGGAATCCTTTAATTACTGAATTATTATCATACTGATAAGCCGTGGGACCAATGTGAAAAACCTTTCTGAGTAAAGGTCGCGTTCAACCAAATTCATCTCTCCCCATAGCACTTCCTCAAAATTCCTCCTACAACTTTTCCTTATCATCATGTTAGAAAATCCTCCAGATTTAGGTAAAGGTTTTCAGCGGCTCATTCTAGTTTTTAAAGCACTTTGTCCAGTTCGAAGTTTGCTTATTTTAACACGCAGCATGGCTTGATTTAGTATATAACTAGGAGGGGTGAAAAAAGCGTGACACATCGGGAAACTCTTTCTCGAAACTTGACAATCCTGAAATTATGTCCTCGCCATATAAAACCATACAGAGACGGTAAAGAATCGTTATAACTTACGGAGATGAAATTAAATTCGTGAGTTTTAAATATTATTTATTTTGTGTGTGCAGGAATCGACATCTAAATCGACGAGGAAGTAACACTAGCACGAACAACTCTGTGCACTCAAGTCCGTCGAACAGCCTTTTTAACAACTCGAGTTGCTCGCCCAACATCACCAGCCTGGCATCGCCGCTACCCTCCAGGTGAGATCCCAACTATATCCAACCAATGTTGCCTCAGAGCAGTTAAAAGGAGGAGAGGTTGTGCGGCAGACTAAACTTTTAGGACCCAACTAACATATCGACGGCGTAAAGCTCTGGATAGACGATCAAATTCCGAACCAATTCCGATCAAAGTAGACATGCTGATGACTGGTGGTCACCATCTACCATCGAATTTTGACGGGCCGCACTTTTTTGTTCAAAGTAAGATCAGAACGGAGTGCCACCATTCATCATTTCCTGCCACAGGAAACATTTCTGCCAAGTTTTCATTTTAAAATTAAGCAAATTAATGAGTTTAAGACTGATGACTCCCGACACTTCGATCCTACTTTGATCGGAATTGGTTCGGGAATTTGATCGTCTATCCAGGGCTTAAGTCCGCAATCACATATCTCGTTCGCGGTGCCTGGAAATCTCCGCCGCTATGTTATTTTTGTAAGGTTAACAAATTGACATCATTCCTTGAAGTTTTTGCAGAATTTTCCTCGCACAGAGAAGAAAAATCACGACAGTCGACAGTTTTAAGGAATTGCAGTTGAGTAGTTTTCCGTTTAAAAAATGAAGTGTAACAGGAAGTCTGCGGCATCGCAAACCGAGTCATGTGATTGCCGACTTACACCGTCGATGTGGACCGTGTTAAGCGCAGAAAAGAACCAAGGCACACCGTCGATGTGGACCGTGTTAAGCAGAAAAGAACCAAGCCACACCAGCTATTGCAAAATTTAATTGGGTAGTTTAATTTTGTATATGAAAACGATTGTGCGGATTTTTGAGCAAATTTCAGTGAATTTTTTGCATAGTACGAAGCAAATTTTTTAAAATTTTCAAAGGAACCCGCACAAATGTTCTCTTGTCAAACATTAAAAAGCCCAATTAAATTTGACAATGGCCGATGTGGCTTGGTTTCTTTCTGCTAAACGCGGTCCAATTTTTCCGTAGAAAATCAATAAATTTTCTCCGCAACGTTTCATATACTCGTGATGGCAAGAAAAACGACCAGATCAGGGCCTAGTAAGAACCCTTGCACGATTTCATTGCAGCTTTTCGAGTAACTTTCAACGTTCAAGTACTTTTCAGCATCGATTCGCCTCAATTATGCATGTTCATCCGCCCCGTAAGGCGAGGTCAATAAACGTCAGTTTGCGAATCTTATCGTCGTTACGCTTTGAGTATGCATTGGCTTTAATTTATTGATAAATCCTCGAGGTTAGGCTGCTGGGCACGTTGATAACCCTAAGGGAAAAGGGAGGCCTCTTGTATTCGAAGTCTTTAGCAAAATACAAAATTATGAGGCTTAAAAATTGTTCCACTATTAAGATTTCTCACGGAACTCTTCAGAAATGGTAGGAAATAGCATCGGTTTTGGGTCATGTACTGTTCCTGAGTTTCGTAAATCTTCCGTAACCGCATTAGCATTCTGTAAGTTTGGAGAGTCCGTTAAGTCGTCTGAATCACGAATAAGTCCACTTGGACCGCGTTAAGCAGACAGGAACCAAGCCACATCAGCTATTGCCAAATTTAACTGGGAATTTAAATATTTACAAGAGAACGTTTCTGCGGATTCCTTTGAAAATTTCAAGGAATTTGCTTCGTGCTATGCAGAGAATTCAATGAAATTTGCCCAAAAATCCGCAGAACAGTTTCCATGTAAAAAATTAAATTACCCAACTAAATTTGGCAATAGCTGACTTTGCTTACAATTAGTTCCTTCCTGTTAAACGCGGTCCACATAACCTCTATTATTGTTTTAAAACTGTAAGTTGTTTTGATAGAAAGAAAACAAATTTATTGAGTCTTTCCTAGTTTTTTCCCCAATCGAAACTTGTCAACAAATTGAAAAGAAATAATCGATAATTATCGTCGTTACATCTTGAACATTTGCATTAGAACACCTGATAGAACTAGGTACTCGTATTTCTTCGGAAATAATGTTCTCTTATAAGATGGAAAAGCTTTCAAGAGATTATTCTCCAATGACTTCTTCATATTAATTTCTTAAGAATATTCTGTAAAAATTTCAAGCAATACCGTTGGTTTTTCCCTTGGGATTGGAGCGGGGCTTTCAAAACACCACTGACAAGATATGCATCCCTTTCCACCCCGTCTCTCCGTCTGCAGTTTTACAGTCGATACGATAACATTTTGTCATTTCCTGAACGAAAGGACGTAACTTCATTATATTGTTGCAAAAGTGACTCATTCAATCCAATTATTTACAAGAAAATGCCTGTGCTATTTCAGTCCAAATTTTTCTGGTTTCCGTGCTCATGAGTGCCGCATTATTCGGTCGGCACCAGGGCCGGATTTACCTACTTGCCGCCCATGGGCCGCCTGTATTTTGCCGCCCCCTTCTCATTCGTATTGAAACATCAATAAAAACCATCAAGTGAACGTGCCAACGGGGTAGGGGTGCATAAGACGCGTTTCCTCGTGTTGAACACATTTTTGGGGGATGCCCTTTTCAACACTACTAGCAAAAGTTAAGGTTTGTAAACCTATCTCTGTGTGGACATGGCTCCTCATTCATAAGAAATGAACGAAAAAATTATGAAAGAACAAACATGAATGTGGTTTAATGATTTTAACTTCCACCGCCGCGCCACGCCGAGCCGCGCAGACCGCACCGTGTTTGGCGCAATGCGTGAAGTATTCACGCAGTCTTGTAGGCGCCATGCGTTTCACGCTGACCGCACTGTGTTTGGCGCAATGCGTGAAGTATTCATGCATTCTTGTAGGCGCTATCCGTTTCACGCTGACCGCGATGACCGCACTGTGTTTGATGCAATGAGTGAAGTATTCGTGCAGTCTTGTAGGCGCTGATATGAGTTACATGGCGATCGCCGCGCCGATGGCTTCTACTTTTCATCTCAAGTCCTTGTGATCATTGCTCTCTGCGCCGCGCCGTTCCAGGCCAAATTGCGTGTTTGGTTTCTCTCTTAACTCAACTAATTAAAGGTGCTCTCTCTTGTATCACTGAAAGAGGACAAAATTAAAAATTACTACACTCTCAGGAAATGAGAGATTTTGTCGCCTTTTCTCGTTTGTAATTTTGTTTTTCTAAATCCGATATTTTTTTATACCTACATTTAAAAAAATTGCAAAATTTGCCGCCATGGGCCGCGGCCCATGTGGCCACCCCCTGAATCCAGCCCTGGTCGGCACATAGTTCCGTTCGACAGAATGTAAAATCTTGCTTTTCCATTTCTCCGAGGGGAATCACGCCTACTTTAACGTGTTTCCTTATGCAACTTTCCAGAGCACACCCCATCTTTTCCACTCGTCTATAGTTGCATTTGGAAGAAATACGTCCAATTTTGCAACGTTGGTATGCAGTTACTTCTTTTGCTCAATTTTGCAAGAGCCTTTGATCGACGCTATGAACTTCTGATAACTGCGAAATTAATTTTCGCAAGAATCCGCGCTGTGTATGTTTGCTAACGAGATGATTTCCTGTTTGCAGGGCAGCGTCTTGCAACGCCCACCCGCCTGGATCTCCGGGCTCGGGGGCGACTCTGAACCAGATGCCAGCGACGCCTCAACACCGCCCCAGCCCCCCGCCCGTCATTTCGCCCCCTTCCCTAGCCCCCTCCCCCTCCCCCTCCCCGACGCCCAATCCACCCTCTACCCCCGTGTTCCAGCATAGAACCAACAGCCTTAGTGATAACTCTGACTCGCTCGCTTTAGGAATAAGTAAGTACACTATTGTAATAGATGCCTAATTACACTGAAAGAGCAACAATGAAGAAAAAGTTATGGGTTGTATAGATATGCCGTTTGTTCCGGGCTCAGAGGCCGAAAGTTCCGGGTACTGGAGCCGTAGCTTCGATTGCTCCCGGTACCGCGAACTGGAAAAAAAAAAAAACACTTTGGAGCTAGAGTACAGACTCTTGAAAACATTGACAAGAAAAAGGATTCTTGATTCAATCAGATTTAAGCTTAAAACAAAAGGAAATCCGCTCACATTAAGAGGCTTGGTTCTTGATTTAAGCTTAAATCTGATTGAATCAAGAGTATTTTTTCTTGTCGATGTTTTTAAGAGTCCGGACTCTACATCCAATGGGTTTTTTTGTTTTTCCAGTGCGCTCGGTACTTTCGGCTTCTAAGGCTGGAGTTTCTTTTCAGTGAACGTACAAATATTTTTCAATTTTCACACGGCCAAAGTGCAAGCATTAAGGACTGTAAGAATATGATGCTGATCAGTTGGAAGCTACTTCGAGCGGATATGCCATTATTTTTTATCATTATTCAAGCTGGCTATTTAACTGAAGCTTGGGAGCAAAAAATTCTATAGTCTGAGAAGGTTTTATTATGAATTTAAAACCCTCTTCTCGGAAAACGTTCTTATTGCTGAATAAATTGGAGCATGGGCGGATCCAACGGGGGGCGTAGGGAGCGCCTACGCCCTCCTCCCATTCGCCCAAAAAAGGAGGAAGTAAAGGGGAAGAAAGAAAGAAAACACGGATCCAAGAAGAGGGAAGGGCGCTGATATTTGATAATTGACCAGGTCAAAATTGACTCAAACTGCATATAATGGATGTTTTAAAATTTTGACAATTTTCTGGGGGATCCCCCGCCCAACCCCCCTCCCGTCCCCTTTCGCAGTATCTGAATGCGCCAATGACGTAATATAGAGATGAATCATTGCCACAAGCCAAAAATCATGAAAATTAGTTTCATGGATCCGTACGTACGAGTAAGGAAAATGAGTGTATACTTAGAGATTTACAGAGCTTATAATGAAGATTGCTTGTGTCCTAATTTTATGCAAGAATTTATCACAGCACTCCTTAAGCGACAGATGCTATCATAACATCTATTCTCATTTGCTCGCTCAGAGATATTTATTTTACCGAATGCTCGAGAGGGTGACTTATGAAAATGCTTGAGACTTCAAACTAACGTGTAGTCTTCATTTTTAACATCAACCAAAAGCATGACAACCTGAAATAAAAGTGGTAAGATATAGAGAAGTCTCTAGCAACTTTACTTGGTAGTCGCTGCGCAAAATATTCTTCGAATGTGAACTTTCAAATTCCGGGCGTTATTTTAGGGGTTTTTCTCATTGCAGATTCTGCGGTGGTAGGCACGCCACCCGGCTCGCCGCACACCTCCAACCACTGGCGGAATAGGCTCACAACTATTAAGAATAGTTTCCTCGGATCTCCTCGCTTCCACCGGAGAAAACTCCAAAGTAAGGCACCCGTCACCTTTTCATTAGTCGTCTGCAAAAGACAATAATTAACTATCCTTCTAGCTTTTGCGGCACTAATTGGGTTACTATATCCAAAACATCTTTGGAATATAAAAATGTCGTCATTTACGTTAATTTGAGTTGCCAAAATAAGGATACATAAAAAATCTTTACTATAATGGCTGTTACACCATATGACAATATATGACAAGGAAATAATGTTCCCTCGAAAGGGACCATTATTTCCTGCAAGAATATATAAGCATACATTTCTCCAAGTAGTTCTAGAAATAATAGATGTATGCTTATCTTCTTCTTCTTCTACGAACGACTAGAGCATAGCCCTGTTTGTCAGGCCATCCAGTATCAAGCACACTAAACTATATAAATATTAAATTTCTAAAATCACTAAAAATAAAGGACTCGTCAAAGCATAAAAGCTCCAATCATCTCAAAGAGAAGAGAGTCAGCTCTGTGCCCATCTCTTAGACGGTCGTCCAGGTAATATTTTTCCTATGGGTTGCTAAGGGATATGCTTATACCTTTACAAATATTACTGGTAAGCTCTGATTTTAATTTTGACCTCATTTTTATGTATTGACTTCTTTCCTATTTCAGCGTCCACGGAGGAAGTTTCATTAACGCCCATATCCTCACCAGAGTTGACAAAAAAATCGTGGTTCGGGAGTCTAATGACGTCCGAAAAAGACGAAAACATCACGGTATTGGTGCGAGGGCGGCCTTTGGCTTCCTTAAAAGCGGATCTTATCCATGCCTTTCTTTCTGTGAGTACCTTAATTTGAAGATTTCAGTAATCGGGCCAAAAAAATCACGCTGAGGTTCAAAACAAATAATGCGCGTAAATTTTGATGATAGTAAGCTTTGCAAAATAGAGTATGTAATTTTTGAGACTTGCAAAAAATCCGGGAAGGTTGTGAATATTTGAAACTCAGCAAATCTATAGAGATTATATTTTTCGGGTGTATTTGCCTGACCAAAAGAAAAGGAATTGTGTTGTGCTCAAGAAATGTTAATATTTTGGTTCTTAGTTACGTCCAATAATTTTTGTTGCACGAATCGTATTCCACGTGAATTTTGATGAGAGGACATTGAGTATACTTAATGTTTAACTCCACACCATTTAGTGGCCTATTGTAACACGTAAATACCAATGATACGTTGGTAAACATCATGTTGTTTTGCCGTCTCAAAAATAAACCACTACTCTGAAGTGATGGCTCGTGATACAATGGACCACTAGACAAGGTACGAATTTCAACATTCTGATACATGGTTCTTAACCAAAATTTCACGCAAAACACGATGCGCACAACGAAAATTACCTATATCAACTCCTTACGAAGATATGTTAAAATTCTTAGTGCGTGAATTCAAACCACCCGCTTATGAAAACTCAATGCTCTACGTGATTCACATTGCGCGCTAAACGTTTATCATGATAGTCTGTGCGATATAAAAATCTGAAAACCTCAATCTTAACGGTTTGGCTCAGCTGTAGCAAATTTCTTGTGGTTTGAACAACACATTATGGGAAATGAACATTGCTCGATTGAGAAGCTTGCTGAAACCGTTGTAGTGCGCGATTTGACTCAAGTAGAGCTTTGAGTTTCTTGTGAGCGGGCAGTGCAAATTCCTCGTAACCAATGTGAAATAAAAACGTTATTATCTTCGTTAGGAGTTGATTTCAGTAATTTTCGTTGCACGAATCGTGTTCTACGTGAAAGTCTGGTAAAGAAACATGTACCAGATTGCTTAAATTCGTACCTTGTGTAATGGTCCATTTGGATATTTCCCCCTTTTTATATTTGCATTATAAACTTCATCGATTGCATATAAGTTACGCAGAAATGCATCTCCAACCTTCAGCCTTCAGCTCCCTTCATTACGTGGTATGATACGTGGTATGACAGTTTCATCCATCGATATATGTTTCTCAATGGTCAATGAAGGAGCTATCATTGTTGGAACTAGTTGCAATTAAGTTGAAACATGTTTCAACTTCAAAGTATTGCTGGTTGCCTATCTTTAGATTTTAAACAACTTTGGTTCAGCAGTTTTGCAATCTCAGCAGGTTGCAACTTTGTCCTCCGATCAGATCGCCGAAAATCGGCACTTATCGACCAAAAGTTGACCGAAAGTTGCAATTTTGTCGCAACTAATACCAACATCGTTGCAACTTGTTGCAACTTTTACATTGGAAAATGCTACTTGGGTACTAATGCAGTTTCATTTTTTCCTAAATAATTTGAGTGGAGGAAAAAGTCTATATAGTGATTTCTTCATGTTTTCAAAGATTGATTTGAGTCGCGTTTGTATTTTGCAGATATCTGAATTAAGTCACAGTGTATCTAGTCCAATGTCGTTCCGAGTCGAGTACAGGCGAGGATCAACCGGTGCTGCAATGTTCCAAAGACAAATTAGATTTGAAGTAGATATATCAATTGTTGGCAAAGCCAAAGACTACATGCATGCTGTTACCTTTAGTCTAATTTCAGGTGAGTTTTTACTTCATTGTACCCTCTATATTACGTATCGAAAATGGACTGCGTTTAACAAAAAGGAACCAAGCCACGTCAGCTATTGCCCGATTTAAGTGGCAGGGTCGGATTTACCTACTTGCCGCCCCCTTCTCATTCGTTTTGAAACATCAATAAAAAACATCAAGTGAACGTGCCGGAGGGGGAGGGGTGCATAAGACGCGTTTACCTACTCGTGTTGGATATATTTTTTGCGAAAGCCCTGTCAACACTACTAGCAAAATTTCACGGAACTTTGCTCCTCCATGTATAAGAAATGAACCAAAAAATTATGATAGAACAAACATAAATGTGGTATAATAATTTTAATTTCCGCCGTTGCGCCGCGCCGCGCTGATCGCACTGTGTTTGGCGCAATGCGTGAAGTATTCCTGCAGTCTCGTAGGCGCTATGCGCTTCACGCCAACCGCTTCTAACCGCACTGTGTTTGGCGCAATGCGTGAAGTATTCATGCAGTCTTGTAGGCGCTAAAATGTGTTACATGCCGACCGCGCTGCGCCGCGGGCTTGTCCTTTTCATCTCAAGTCCTCGTCATCATTCCTCTCTGCGCTTAGCTTCGGGCCAAATTGCGTGTTTAGTTCCTCTCTTAGCTCGACTAATTGGATTACATTTCGCAATAAGGAACCACTATCTCTGGCTCTTCTATTAAAGCACATATCTGCATAGGGAAACCAATGGCGTGTATGTTGTTTCTAAAATTGGCCAGAAATAATGGTTCCTTATTGCAAAATGTAATCCAATTAAAGATGCTGTCTCTTGTGTCACTGAAAAACGACAAAATTAGAAATTACTATACGCTCAGGAAAGAGAAATTTTGTCCCCTTATCTCATTGATACTTTTTTTCTGAATCCGCTTTTTTTATACCTACATTTAAAAAAAATTACAAAATTTGCCGCCATGGGCCACGGCCCATGTGGCCACCCCCGTAATCCGGCCCACTTAATAAGTGGGCAATTAATTTTTACGAGAGAACGTGTGTACGGATTCCTTTGAAAATTTTGAGGAATTTGCTTCGCACTACGAATAAAATTCGCTGTTTGCATGAAAATCCACACAACCGTTTTCGCGTAAATAATTAAATTGCCTAATTGAATTTGGCAATAGCTGATATGACCTGGTTCCTTTCTGTTTAACGCGGTCCAAATTCAGTGCCGTCTTGAGGGGTTTTCGCACGTGGATCAAACTGTAAGCGCCTTCAATGCCTGTGTATATAGGAAGAGATTGGCTCCCGTACAATGGACGGTCTGGGGTCTTCCCTCGAAAAATTTTGGAATATTGAGTTCGTAATACAGTAATTTTAATGCATCGCCAAACAGAAAATTGTGCATACTTCATGCCTTATAGGAAGCCTGAAACCATTTTTTTTCATCCAACAAGGTGCAAGAGGCAACGCATAGCAACAGATTTTTTTTTATGACAAACTTGATCTTAACTTCCCTCAAAAATCACAAATCACATTTCAACGCGCGTTGTGACGGTGCAGAGATACAACTTCACGTATGTTGGAATATTTTTTCCGCCAACGTGCGTTAAAAACTCAGCATGAAGCTGAAAATTCTCACAACATACACAATATTCCAACACACCAACGACCCGTGCGTCCACCGCAATCAATCAGTTTGTGTACAACTTTACGTGCTTGATGGATGTCCATATTGCATGAGCAACATTGAAGGTGCGATGGCGAGAATCATGAACTTGCAATGCTCAGCCGTATAATGCCGATGATGCATCAATCAAATTGGGAGGAAACTTTAAAAAACTAGACCCGATCACGTATTTTCTATATTCAGTTATGTTGCTCATGTGGCCTTTGAAGCACCTCTACAAATAAGACAAACGGGAGAGAACACAAACTGGAAGTAGAGCAATTGAAAGGATGCGCGTTGATGACGGCGCGGCGCAGAGATACAACCATTCGTGCTTGATGGATGTCCGTATTGCGTCTGCAAAATTGAAGGCGCGCTGGCGCGAGGCGTGAACTTGCAATGCTGCGCGCTCTCAATTATTCCTCGTTAATGGAGAGTATTCGTTATTGTCGCCCATAATTTTCTTTTCAAGTAGTTTCTGTGTTGTAATGGAAGAGTAAATAATATTTTTACCAGTCTTATCTTTCTTGTCTGTGCCCCTCCGACATAACTTGATGTTACTATTAATTTTGTGTATTCGAAACGTGTTCACGGTTCACATTTATGATTTCACAGGTAATATTCGGCGATTTAGGAGAATATGTGAGCACATTCAAGGCCAAATCTGCACTCGTAGACCACCCCCTTCGCCTAGAGCTTCCAGAAAATTCAACTCAGAGCTCTCCGAAAGCTCCAGTTGCGGCTCTGATACTTCGGAGAGACTTTCGTCATATCCGGGATCAAGACAGGTAATGAACGATGTTTTCTTCGGAACGCACCATCGGTTCTCAATTCTCAAAAACTAATCACATGCATATTTTTAGAGAAATTTGGGGATTCAATTTTTAAGCGCCGACTGGTTCCTGCAATTTAGCAAGTGCATTTCATCATCATTTGGCAGCCATGTTTTTTTCTCTCTTTCGGGGTTACTCCAGGAGCAAAAGATCTATCTTAATTTTTGAGTCGATCAAATTTTAAAGGAAATAGGTATAATAAAAAAAAAACTCCAAAAAAATAGTGCAAATCACATCTCCTATCCTATCTTAAATACTTTCACCACGAGAGTTCTGAGATGTAACACAATAGAAAGATTTGATTGAATTAAATTAAAGAGGAAAGTCTTGCCTTTACATACGTAGTTGTTTATTACAAGTTGTTGTTGTGGATAACAACTGGCGTATAAAGGCAAGACTTTCTTCTTTAATTTAATTCATCTCATTAACATGCAAAACGCGATACCTAAATTAGACTTGATTGCACTATACAGATTACATCTCCAGGGATGCTGAAACCATTACATCCTACCTTAAGCGCCTCACCCTTTAAAAAAGATTCAAAGGACAAGAGTGGTTGATACAACTCTCAAAAAAATGAACGGTCATAATAAGAATTATTATTTGGTTGCAACAAAGTACTATGAAATTGAGCAAATTCAACACGACCAAAAAAAAATCTCATTTAGTGACGGAACTTCTGGCGGTGTTTTTCTTGTGATACTGAATACGAGTTTTATCATTCGCGATCCGCACAACTTGGCAACACTGTCTCTCCTCCATTTAAATCAAAATCGCCTCGGGGTCGTTCACGTATTACTAACGCACTTTTTCCAATTTTTGCCCCCCCCCCCTTTGAATTACATTACGCTGGCATGGCCCCCTTTAACCCCCCCCCTTTTTCATTCGGAAAGGGCGGGATTTTCAATTTTTGGCTCTCTTTTTTTCATAATTTTTTTCTCCCCCTGCTCAAATTTGATTCATAACGCTGGCTCAAACATTCCCTCCCCCCTAACTGGGTTACGTAATGCTTGAACGGCTCCTTTGGGTAAGGCAGTCTATTTTCAAAAGATATCGATTGTTTTACTACTATAGAGCATTGGCGGATCTAGAAAATTGGCAACATTATTTTCCTCCAATTAAATTTATAAAAATGTATCGATTCTTGGAGGGGCCAGGTGCTTCGACAAGAATCGATTATTTAACATGGGTTTAAACGGAGGGAATCCGGGGTTGCCGAATTGCTGGATCCGCCTCTGCTATTGAAATGAGCTAACCTTAGTGTTGCCAGCATGTTAAAAATTCGTATTTTCGTCCATTTTTTATCCAAACGGTTTTTGTTTTTGTTTCTTTTTTTTTAAAGTGTATGACTTACGTTGTTTTTCAGGGAGAATCGGACATCGAGAGTGACTGCTCGGTGTTTAGCATGAAGTCTACCGGGAAAGAGAACGGGAATAACGTGCGACTGAGCAACGGGCGGCGGCGAAGCATGGGGGCCTCGAACAACAACAACAATAACAACAATAATAACAACAACAACGGGAGTCGGAGCTTGGTTTCGCCGGTGGAGCAACGGACACCCCCGACACCCACCAGGTCCAGCAGCGAGAGCAAGACTGGAGGCGAGAGGCTAGTAACAACTTCCGGGTCTGTTGCATGAGGTGAGTTCTTGCATTGGTCTTAAAACAAAAAAGCCAACTTACATTATGCACTGGAAAAAAAACACATTGGATCTAGAGTCCAGACTCTTGAAAACGTTGACAAGAAAAAATACTCTTGATTCAATCAGATTTAAGCTCAAATCAAAAGGAAATCCGCTCAAATTAATGGTTCTTGATTTAAGCAAAAATCCGATTGAATTAAGAGTATTTCTTCTTGTCGATGTTTTTAAGAGTCTGGACTCTAGATCCAATGTGTTTTTTTTTCTAGTTGAGGTTTAGGAAAAGACGCTCATGCGATAGTCCAAGGCTGGTAAAATATCTATGGTTAACGTCGAAAAATCTCAAGTAACATAGTGCAACGAAAATATTGAAATATGTTGCACTTTAATGCAATGAAATTGCAATTGAGGGGCTTGGAGGGCAAGGCGCATGAGTGCAGTTTTTGAAAAGACGAGATTTCGTGAACTCCAAAACTCCAAAAATGTTCAGAGAATTAGTTTTAAGAGAAAAAAAAAGTAGAGTAAAATAATTGAGTATATCCTTGAAATTTTGGGAAGTGTTTTCAAACAACAGCAGAAAATTCAGTGACAATTAAAAAAAACCTTCGGTTAGTTTTTTTATTTTTTTTTTATTTTTTTGAAAAAAAATCAGAGTCAAAGGCGCTTTTTTGCTTAGCAACGTTTCAAAGTTTAACCTGACAACTTATTCATTCATTGAATCATTGATGGGTACACGTTTTACAGTGAGTATTGCGAAGAACCTTAATTGGAAAACGTACAGAAAATTTTGGATCAAACATTGCAACCGTTCTCGAGTAATTGAATAAATTGTTAAAGGAGACTTTGCTGCTGTCTCCGAGTTTGATTGAAGACCCCCACTCAGTATAACTATCCATTCCTAAACGTCCTCTACAATATCCTTTTTGTATATTGTGTTATTTTTAGACACTGAATGATTTTCGTTTATTTTGCTTGCAGAACAAGCCGGACTGCGAAAGCTGAACCCCGAGCCAAAAACAATATTTTTGATTTTATACGTCCTTATTGTTATCGTGAGCATCAAGGATTCACCTCATAAGTAAGAGTCGCTCCGTAAATTAATTCTAATATATAAAATATCATGCGCATAAGTCTGTAATCTCATCGCAAAAGAACTAAAACTGAGAGTTTTCACAACTTATTTGGTTCTGTGAATTTAGAGAGAAAGATGAGAACTTCATGAGAATTTTGAGAGTTATTAAAGCAAAAACTAAGAGACTCAAAATTTTCCGCTCCATTTGATGTCATAAGTCTAGTAATGTGATATGCCTGATACCCCTGATAAAAATTGGCAGTAGAATCTGTGTTCCAAAATACCATAGACCTACAGCCGGCTGTAAGATTTCCAATAGCTTCTATAGCCGGTTACACAATTTCTTATAGCCTTTTACAGCCGATGGCGACTAAGCAACAGCCAGGCCATAAAGTGTATGCTAAACGTTACTAATTACGGATGCTGGGACTTAGTGAGTTTTTGGACTACTGCTCTCTTTTTGGGCCGTAGTATCTTGTTTTATTTTGCGAGGAAAGCTCCGTACTTTTGATGGATGCCTGCCAGTCCTAATATATTAGAGCGCCTTCAGTTTCGTATGATACTGTGAAATACCTCTGGTGTGAAATAGTTGCTTTAAGCGCCGTGGCGTGGCACGCTGCGGCGCGGCAGGCGGGCAGCCAGCGCGAAACGCGCATTAGCGCCTACAAACCCAACAGGGATACTTCACGCGTTGCGCAATGCGTGAAGTATCCCTGTTAGGTTTGTAGGCGCCAGTGCGTCGCCGCTCCGCTTTGTGTTAGGCTCCGATATTTAATCTGACGGAGTCAGCGTTATTCAACACATGATTTTGAAATGTTTGCACATCCTGTATGGATTATTCTCGTTTTAATTGAAGAAAAAAATATGTATTAAAGGAAAATATAATGTGTGTTTTGTAAATATTAAGGTGGTTCCGTATCAAACTTAATGATTTCTAAAGCACACGAATTTCTACACAATTTCTTATAGCCTTTTATAATCGATGGCGAAAAAGCAACAACCAGGCGATAAACTATAAAGCTCGGCTACAGGAACTATAGCCCGACTGCATAATTTTTTATCGCTTCGTATAGCCCGGCCGTATGATTTTCTTCGCATTCTACAACCAGCTATATGATTTTCTGTAGCCTTCTTTAGCCGGCTATAAGAATTCCTATGGTATTTTGAAACGCAGCTCTAATCGCCAATTTTTACCAGGGACTTGAAAAAAACAAAAAATGCTTGAAAGAAACAGAATTAACGCTCAGTAATGAAAAATATATTCATATTTTTTATGTAACGTCTAAATTGGCGTTAAATGAATGTATTCTGAGACTTAGAAGAATAGCTTGCTTTTTTTGCTATTATAGTTCATTAAAGAGAGAGAGAGGGGGGGGAGAGATGAAGTAGCTATCATTGTCGGGACTTAGCGTCGTCTACGGACCGCACTGTCGGGACTCCCTATCATTGTCGGGACCTCACTCGGGTCCCGACAGTGTTTTCAGGCAAAATCCATGAGTAAAATGTCAAAATACAGGGAAATTACGTATGACGTTGAAGAGTAGCTTCCTNATTCGAACTCCGTCAAGGGAGAGAGAGAGAGAGAGAGAGGGAAAAATGAAGACTGCTTAAAGTTTAAAATTGAAATGATATCCTTGCCCTTTTTTAGCACGTAGCCGTGCAAAACAATTCTTAATTCTATGATTGATGGATACAATAGATAACTTTTAATTCTGTTTAGGTACATTCAAGAATTGTTTCCGCAACCGTGTTTGAAAGGATGTGGGTATGCGCTCAGAATTCATAGCCCCTGCAACTGAATCCTGCAAACTGACGAGATTCATAATTATTTCGCAGTTGTAAATGAGGATTCCTGAGCTAATGAGGGGAAACCTGTGAATGCTGTTTTCTTTTTTATACGAAAGTAATGAAATGTACATTGAATTATCCGTCGGTTGGCATGCGCCAAATGAGTTAGAGTTCTATTATTCAAGGGAGTTTGGCAGGGAGAAAGCTTCTTTGTTTGAATATGGTGCGTTTTTTAAGCGTGAATTAATTAATGAATTACAGTTAAATTTAAGTAAATAAGGAAATACATTAATCTAGAATTTTTAATTTACAAATGTTGAAAATTGTAGCTGTTGATTGACTGAAAAATATGTTTCCACACTGTTTCAAATTTCATGTTTCCTAATATTATCTGTGACAAAAATCTGAGCTCAGTTGTGGTTATTGGTTTTTTTAAATAATTGAGATAAACACGAGTTTTCGCTCCTTAGTTGTGTATTTTATTTGAATAAGATACATGAAACAAATGCAATATAACAAGACTTCATTGTAATAAGGAAGTTAATTTCTCGTTTGAGCCAGATGCATTCAAACCAAACTCTCTTGCATGAAATGAAATCTAGCAACAGTTATTCTTGAATTTCGCGATGACTGAAATAAGCCTATACAGAGTAGGTAATAGGTATTTGATATTTTTCAATGTCGAAAACGTGCTTCTCTCTTCGAGAATGGCGAGTCACTGTTAATATGTTTAAACCCATGATGTTAATGTTCTTTATTATTACTATTACTTATTATTTTACTTTATTCTAATATTGTTTGTAATGCTTTGCAAAATTCTGTGGCAAATTGTTTTTTTAAATAATTTTCGTAAGGGTCCTCATTCGCCCTTTTTGAGTCATTTGGATTGATAAAGCTATCACGCAGCAGAATTTAGCTCCTTTTTCCAAGCTTCTGAAATGCGTTAGTGACTAAACCCAAATATTTCCAAATTGACTATTAACTGGACTGCATTTTGCAATTTGGAACTATAAATTCTGGCTCACCTGAAAAAACACTCAAGGGCATAGGGAAACTAATGTCACATACGTTGTTTTTAAACCGGGCTAGAATTTATAGTTCCAAATTGCAAAGTGTAGTCCAACTGTCGTACAGAAAATCAAACGGGAAGCAGCAAATCTGTTTTTAGGCCACAAAAGTTACCTCTTGAAATTTCCCGCTTTTGATGATTTACAATTCATAATTTTAATAAAAGCTTTTCATGAGAAACGTTCTTTTCTCTAGATTGTGAAAATTCGAATAAGTAACTATTCATATATGCGAGAGATATCAATTCTCATTGGAACCTCAATATTTGGACGAAAAAGGAGAGTCAAACCTATGTAAAGATAAGGAATCTAAAACCAAGTCATCTGCTGTTTTGCAGTTTTTGAAGATTGTGCTCGTGTTAATTTCGTTCCTCACCGCAGAAGAGCTTGAATTCTTCCACTTTGTGAACTTTTCACTAAGCACCTCTCTCATTTTACTTTTACTTTTAAGATAAATATTGCTATTTTTTAGCCACTAGATTACTGTAAACTGAGCTTGGCAGTTGCATAATCTTCCTGACACTGGGAAGATAAAAACGATAGACAGGTTTTAAATTTTTAAATTTTTCTGTACCTTTCTGTAGACCAGTCTATTTTCTGGTATAACCGCTTCCGGGTTCGTATATAGGGTTCTGATATAATAATCAAAAACTGATAAGAGACAATGAGCTGCGTCGAAGATAAAATTGAAAAAAATGAAAAAATTTGACACAGCTCCTCATTTCGAAAAGTACTTTTTCTTTCAATTCAAATGATGTCTCATTTGCGTACGTTTTGTCAGTATCATGGGCGCAAATGAAGGGCCAGCGCCCCCTTTCCCATTGAGATTTAAAATTGCTTTAGTCAATTTTCCATGATTTCCGAGAATTTACCGCCACCCCTTTCTTCGAGGCAAAGTTTGCATCCTTTCAATAACGTTTGCCTCTTCTCTTTCTCCGAAAAATCGGTCAAAATTGCGCCCTTCACTATCATAAGCAAAAGAGAGGATCACCTCTTCCTGATTTAAAACTTTCAAACATTCCAACCCAAGCAATACGCCTGATCCAATATCATTACATTCCATTTTTTGTAATTTATTTTAAGTGCGATGACTCCTTTTGCCGAGGTCTCTCTTTTCTTTGTATTTTTTTCTCTTGAGCCTCTGTTACCTTTTAACGGTTTTGATCATAACTTGCAAGAATTGGCCCCGCTGTGCTGAAGGCTCAACCACTGATTGTGAGATGCTTACCTAAATAGTCCATGATTTTAATTTTGTAAAATGCGCTCAGCTGTAAATAGGGCTTTAAGCAATAGACATTTCTCGTTGCAAGGTTTTGTTACCATGCGGCTATTTGCGAGATTAGTTTTCAGATTGCAGATCAAGATTATACCCTCTTTTTCCAAAATATGCCTCCATGCCTCCCCCTAGAACATCGACGTGTCAGATGATTGTTTTCCTCGCGTGTTTCAATTTCCATAAAACTTGTTCCTTAAAACCCCAGGGGAATTTCAACTCTCAAGAACGAGAAATGGTGTGTAGACGCAGCTTCTTCGTTCTTTTTTAGGCATTACATAGACGGTCTTAGGATCCTAATTAATACTTCAATCCAGATTTACATAATCATAATAGTGATGCGTAACTCACACAAGCATGATGAGCATAATTGCACCTTTCGACAATACATGTGCGACTTTGTCGTAAATATGTATTAACTAAGCGAAGAACTAACACGATTTCTGAAGAAGAAAAAATACTGCAAGTTCATGAAAACTGAATTAAAAGCACACACTTTGTAAAAAAAAAAAAAAAAATTTAACAGAGCTATGACAAAACTATTAGTCAATAATAATTTCACTATAGGTTTGCATTTTATATCAACAAGCTGTAGCTGTAATCAGGGCAATTCAACACTCTATCTTGGTAGGTATCAGGATTCATTGAAAAGTTACAAAAATTTTAAAATCTCAATACGATATAATTTCAGACAGTCCCCTCAAAATGTACTGTTTCGGTAATAAATCTCAAAACCTTGTATTCACGTTCGCAATTTTCAAAATTATTCCCTTGTTGATTTTAATAAAAATAAAAAAATAAAAAAAATCTCACGACTTCGTTGAATTTCGCATGATTTTGTTCCAACGACGTGCTCTCAAAATTATGTATAATTCAACTCTTTATGAAATACAGGGTCCCTTTGACAGCTCCCATTTAATTGAGGCTATCCGCAAGTTTAAGTATCCTACTTTTATGGATGGCAGTATAATATCTCCATCTTTGTTAAATCACAACGAAGAACAATTAACTGTAAAAAGACAATAATTATGAGCTCTCTATCGAAAAGCATCTTCACATTACGAAGTCATCTGTTCCCCACATCGCCTAGCAAGTAGTGTGTCTGAATTTCCCCACCTTACCCCTCCTTACAAAGAAGGAGTATATTTTTCCAAGAACGAACCCAAGGAAGATGGTAGCTCTAATTTGCTTATTAATTCTACTTTTTACGTATGATTTAATTTTTGCAACCTTTATGAGGTTAAAAACATATACCTCTGGTTAAATATTGACCATATAAGTGGCTCTTATTTTTTTGTCAGCGGTACTGTTTACAAGGTAGCCATTATTTTTCTTGTAAGTAGAAACAAAGATATTGCAAATTCAAATATTGACCTTTTGGAAAAGTTTCTTACCCTCGGTCCTCCATAAAAAGTAGAGGTAGCATTTCGATACTTTAATTCAAAACTTAAATATTTTATGAGACAAATATTCTAAATCAAAATGTTCCCCGCCCCAAATTGTAGATATTATGCTTAGCATCCAAAATTTAAACGTGAGTTAGTATTACCTACTCTACCAATTAGAAGAGTACATAGGTAGGTACAACAGCATCAAAGCACAAATTTTCAGAAGTAATGAAAATAAATAATTCATATTTTCATGGAGCCTAAATTGATGTTGTTGGTGAGTTTGTACAATGCTTGGACGCTTATGTGAGGTATTATGATATTTTTGTTCAGTGATATAATGTAATAAGTATATGTATAATTTTATTAGTATTTTTAGTGGCGCACTGTTTGTAATCATTATTTGATCTGTTATATTTTTTATTGTAATTTATTAATCAATAACTAAAGCGGTGATTCAGCCTCGCTGAATAGTTTCTATTACTATGCTTGGTTTATTTTATTTCCTAGACTCCCTTTAATCTCTCTCCTCCCCACCCAGGAAAAAGCAAGGAAATTAAAACAACAATCAACATTTTTGACACAAAGCCTCGGCTTAATTTCACGAAAAGTCCTCAAACTAAAATCAATTGTGATGCCTAATGGTCCCATAGGTCCTATGCACGTACAATTTCCTTAGTGGCGTTTCTGCAACACCATGGCAAATACTGATTCCGCAAAAATGACACTACTTCAAACTTCAATACTTGGCAAAGCTATCACATACGGAAGATACGATCAGTAAATACCTAGTTGTAATGTGTAAATATTTCCAGATAAATTAAATGGGAATTCTAAAATAATTACTTTGAACATGTTGGTCGTTGCGCATAGTAATGATATAACACAGAGGGTGGCCGTAATGCAATGCATTTTATTAAATTACATTTTAGTGCCCAGGCGTTTCAACACGAGTGTTATCTTCAGGGCATCACATACGTACATAAAAAGCGAAGAAAACAGCAAAATATGAAACCTATCAAAAATAGACAGCAAAAAGCACGTAATAATAATAAATAATTACGGTAAAATGGAAGTATTTCCGAAAAAATCCGGTAAAATCAGGTGAGGGACTGCCGCAAAAACAGCCTCTATTTCCTCAATACATTTATTGGCTATGCGCTCATTTTATTTTTATTCTTTATTATTAAATTGTATTCATTACTCGAATCACGGTATATTTGCGCAACAAAAACATGCAAACTGATTGACAAGACGTATGTTCAGTCATCACATGGAAGGAAAACTGGGGCGCTCTGACTTCTTTAAAGGCATCACCTGAATGCAACTAATCGAGCTCAAAGGACATTATGCCCGTGTTGCATACACAAAAAATTGCAGGCGCTTTAGTGTCTTCAATCATAACGCCTGCCTAACTGCGCTTATCTGTGCTCAAGAAGTGTCTGTGTTGCGACTGAAACCTCGTTGACCACAAGAAACTTTGGAATGAGGATTATTAGGGTAATCTCACCACCCCTTAACGTTGCCAGATCGTCTGCTTTGCTGAAACCTAGTATTTAGTTAGTTGTTATTAGGGGGATGGAGAAAGATCCTGCCAGCATAGCAGAGTACAAGGTGATCAGGCGGGGCAGGGGGGGGGGGGGGGGGGGGGTAGGGGATAAAAACCTCGTAAGTTAATCGTTACGTATGATATAAGAAAGGCCATACAGATCGATTCGCCCGCATTTCAAGGGAATTTCGGTAGTTTGTATTGCATTTCGTTATTCATTTTTGCATTTTTTAATAATTCATGAGAAGGATAGGTTAATAGAAGCAGGAAACGAGATTTTTCATCATGATCGTCGTCCTAGTTAAGAAAAAATAAGAAAAAATGAGAAAAAAGAAGAAAAAAGAAGAAGAAAAGAAAAAATAGGGGGAAAAAGATACAAGGAAAAAAAGAAGAAGAAAAAGAAAAAAATGAAGAAAAAGATAAAAAAAAAGAAAAAAAGCAAGCCAGCAGTACTCAATCCTTTCAGGATAGAAATAGTTGTCTTGGCAGTATAAACAATCGTAATTTATTTAAAGTGTCAAAAAAAAAAATTATTTTCAGTTATGAAGGATAGCTACCTGACACGTTTGCATATCGGTGGATCCTGGCCATCTTTGCGAGATGGTAAAATTTCGTTAACCCTTAAAACCTTCAAGAGCAAACTCCTTCATTGAAAAAAAGAGGGGATTCCATGGCGCCTTAAAAAAATCGGAAGGCGACCAGAGAGATTTTTACGACTGTGACGGGATCGAGAACGGTGGCGCGGCAAGCCACACAGACAAACACACAGACAAAATTGAGAAAGTTTAAAAGCCTATAACTCCATTTATACAAGACTTTGAGATTTTAAAATTAGCTCCATTGGTTTCCTCGTGAAATTGTCTGCTAGAAGCTTCCCTTAAAATTTAAAATGTAACGAATTAAACATCACCATTTCCAGTTTTAGTCAAAAATTTCATGTCCGATCGCTCCTATTGACTCAATTCACGGTGCGACGCTGAGTGGGGAGCAAATGACCATGGAAAGCAATTCAAAGGAAACCGGAGGTAACCAAGTATAAAAATTGGACTACATTTTGCAATTCGGAACTATAAATTCTAGCCCGGCTTAAAAACAACGTATGTGCCATTAGTATCCCTATGCACATAAGTGTTTTCTCAGAAGAGCCAGAATTTATAGTTCCAAATTGCAAAATGCAGTCCCATTAAGCCTCAGCGCGGTCATCGAATTTTAGTCATAGGCTAAGGTTTTCAATTCGCAGTCAAAAAGCGGGCCCAGCGGGCTGATTATTGAAATTGATAGGCAAAGCTATAGACAAAGAAGACACAGGACACAGGGGGTATGGAGCGATCCTATTGGTTGAAATGTGTGGTTCTTATAGACTAAGGGAGAAAATTATAGACTAGCTGTCGGGTTTCTCTTGGGTTGCCGTTAGTTAGTCTATTACCTACTGGCTTTGTCCATTGCAACCATTAGCTTCCACTAATAAGTTCCTTTCGTATCTCTTTTGTCATCTTTGTCTATAGCTTTGTCTATCAATTTCAATAATCGGCCCGCAGGTTACCCGAGTTGTCAAAATCGAAATAAGTGTCACGACCTCTACTCCAAGTCACCAACTGGCCACATCAGCTGATCTGCGGTACGAACAAGAAACAGGGAAAAGCGTATTTGAAAAAGGAAATGCGGCTCATTATACCTCAACAGCAATGCGACACAACAACTCCCGCACAGTCAAATGGATAGAGGCGGACTGGCTCCTCATCGAAGCGGCCCGGGAAATCGCCAACAGACCAGCCCATCACAGTGCCATGCCGCAGCGGACCCCCC